GTTAAACAATTCATGATATGTCTTGTAGCTCCACTATCAATACAAAAAATGTTTGATCAGTCTTAGCCTCTTCGTCAATGGACATCAGTATTACACTGCCTGTATTTCCTTCATTGGTTTTCGTTAACCTATTCTTGGGTGGTCTTCCATCAGCAATCCACTGTTTACAATCTTTTACCCAGTGTCCTTTCTTTTTGCAATAATTGCAAATATCTTCTTTTCTTGGTTTTCTTCTGAATTTGTCTTTTTTATTGCTTTTGTTTTTCAGATTTTTGACATTACTAATGCCACTTGTTCATTTGTATTGCCCTTCTCATGACTTTTAAATTCTCTTTCATGAGAGCAAAGCTGTGCTGTTAACTCATCAACTGTTCTTTTGTCTTCACCCAAGAGTAACCAACTTGACTTAAACAAATGTTATTGTCCTGGTAAGACATCTAAATTTTGCAATTGAGTAGCATGTCAGGTAACTTATTTTAATTTTTTCTTTTCAAGTCCTGAATTCAACTCATTCCATAAGTTTTTTAATTTGGAAAGATGAGCTGCCATATTATCATTTTCATTCCACTTGAATTGAAAAAATTGCATGCATATATTATACAATTGATTTTCTGATGATGCTTCAAATAACTTATGTAATTCCAACCACACTTCTCTAGCAGTCTGAAATCTCATAACTTTTTGCACAGTTTCTTCCGTCATGGAATTCGTTAATACCATCATAGCATTAGTGTTTGCATTTTGAAACTTCTTAACAGCTTCATTATATTTCTCTTGTTGAGCAATCGGAGCATCTACAGGAAGAATTTCTGGTTTCACTATAGCCCTTCTACAATTTCTAACACACCAGGATGATAATTTAAAACAAATTTTATCCTTGTATTTCCATATAAGCCAATCGCTTTCACCTGATAAAGGCTTTACTTGGAACTTAGATAATTCCATACTTTGATTTCTAAACAACTTTCGATTGCTATAACGAAAACAAAACACTTACTTGTTTAGGCTTAACGAGTTCCGTTTCTTCGAGAAAACATCAATTCAAAACATTTGATGCAATATGGGAGCTTGCTTGATCCATAACCTAAAAAAGTATTTCTTAAAAAATACATAACCTAAAAAGGTATTTCTAAAAATAGAGAGAGAAAACAAATAGCAGAGAAAAATACGATGCTTTTTATTGGAATTACAAACTATAGCATTTTTTGAACGACAGTATCGCGAAGCACGATCTCCTGATGACGACAACACTCACTGTTGCCAGAACTTATCTAAACTATATATTATATTATTATTATTTTTTATTAACATACTTTAATAGAAATGACATATTTAAACTCATTCAATCAAATAATTATAACATTCATGCTCCAGACGAGCCCACACATTACGGGTACAATAGCTGCACCACAATTGATTTCTTCATCTCAAATAACATTACTAACAGATGCAATATCTCTGTAATTTCAGCCCTGTCTTCCGACCACAACCCCATTATATTTGAAATCCCCCATTATTAAATACCTCCCCTCACTTGAGAGAAGTATAGGAGTTACAAATTGGATCAAATACTCCGAAATTCTGAATAACTCCATACAAGGTAACCCATGCATCAACAATACAGAAGATTTAGAACACGAAGTCTCAAGTCTCAAAATTTACCAACAGCATAAATTCTGCTTTAAAGGAAGCCACCAATGCTTTTTATGTGAACAAAGCCTTTCCTTCTCCTGCCTGCCGATATAAGAAATAGGATTAAAGAGAAAAACCAGATCCGTAAAAGATGGCAAACCACCAGGGATCCACAACTCAAACACGAACTAAACTCTATGCAAAAAGAAATCAACAGTAAGAATCAAGAACTTCAAAAACCAAAATATGGACCAATTTCCTAAATAACCTAGCTATAGAGAACAATTTCCTATTTGACATTTCCCGCAAATTCAAGAAACCGTATAAACCTATTCCACCTATCCATGGACCTAGTGGAACTTCATATACAGAAGAAGATAAAGCTATATCTTTTGCGGACTATATGGAAGATACATTCACTCTTAATCCCACTCCTTACGACAATAAATTTATTCAACGGGTCAGCCTGGTGGTCAATAACTTCCTTAATACCCCTGCTCCGTACAACTTCACTTTCCTGACTACGTGAACAATCGTTGCCAACACCATCAGCTCCTTACAAACGAAGAAAGCCCCAGAGCACGATGGCATCTCGACCAAAGCACTGAAACATCTTCCGATCAACGCTCTTACCTGCCTAACTAAGATAATCAACAACATTATCAAATTCGCTCATTTTCCTCATTCATGGAAGCAAGCTATAATAATTGTTTTTGCTAAACCGCAACAAAATCCAACCTTCCCACAGAACTATCGCCCTATCAGTTTACTTAGCCATCTGTAAAGTTACTGAGAAAATCCTACCTTTCCACATCCAAAAAATTCACCCTTCCATGAATTTTCTCACAGAAGAATAATTCGGTTTTCGTAATCATTATAGCACTTGCCACCAACTTCTTAGAGTTATCAGCATTATCACTGAAGGCTACAACTGCAAGCTTCCGACCGGTGCTATATTCCTCGATATCGCGAAAGATTTTGACAGAGTGTGACATCGAGGTCTTATTTACAAACTAATCACTCTCAATTTTCCAGATAATTTTATTCGCTTAATAGCCTCTTTTCTCAGCAACAGAACATTCAGAATTAAAATCGGTACTGCTTACTCAACCACCGGAGTAATCAATGCTGGTGGCCCACAGGGGTTGGCACTTTCGCCGTACCTGTTTAATATTTATACACAAGACATCCCTAAAGACCCTTCTGTTCATCTTGCACTCTTTGACGATGACACCGCCATACTTACTAAAGCCTGCACAGTTATCGCCGTTAGAAACCATCTCCAAAGCTATCTCATAAAACTGGAAAAATGGCTTACCCTTTGAAGGATTAAAATTAACACTGATAAAACTAAAGCAATAATTTTCCGTAAAGGAAACATGAAATACTATCCTCCACCTCCTGAAATATTTGACGAAGAAATAGACTGGATTAATGAAACCAAATACCTTGGATTCACCCTTAACCAAAAACTTACCTTCAGAACCCATTTCCGGTCCGTAGTACAAAAAATTTCAAATCACCACAGCTACTTTGCGACCTGTTCTTGGTAGAAAAAGCAACTTATCTACTACAAACAAATTAATTCTATATCGCTCCATACTTCGCCCAGCTCTTCTTTATGCAGCACCGATCTGGGGACATGCAGCTAAAACCAATATTAAACAATTGCAAATTCTACAAAAAGAAATTATCAATGCTCCTTAGTATATTCCCAACATCTATATTCACAGAGACCTTCGAATCGAACTTATTCAAGAGTATATTAAACGATTAGCGGTCAACTTCTTTTATTCAGTACAAACCCACAGTAATAGCCTTATTAGCACTCTCAGACACTCCCCGCGTCCCAGAGAAAAACATCGTTACCCTATGACATCCTTCTCACATAAGAATCACAACCTTAATTGACTCATTCACGCAAAACTGACTCTGCGGTCTTACCACCCGCGGCTACATCTTATAACGACACTGAACTTGACCCCCCCTTTTTTCACCGTCGCTAGTGCGGACCTCACTCTCTTTCATCCGCCTCCCACACTCCTTTCACCCTTCTCTTTCTCCCCCACCCGATCTTTATCAGAAGTCGAGTAAAAAGATGTTTCTACATCTTGACACTCGAGAATAAAATACGATCTGTGTGTACACAAAGACATCCCTAAAGACCCGGAGATCGGAGATGATCATTCGTTAAGTGGTGTTCGACCCGAGGGCCTTTACCACTACATGTTTATCAATCCCCTAAGGACCTGTAAAAGTTCGTTAAATTCCATAAACTGGAAAAGTCCTGTGCACTTGTAATAAAAGTGCAAAGTCTTCAGTAGTGAAGAAGTTGATCAGGGGTGGCGACTTATATCGGACACAGATGAAGTCTTCGTTGGATAAGCTATAATAGCAACTAAATTTTGTCAGGCATATTTGGCTTTTTTACACATTATCGTATATTTGACACAGTATCGTACATTAGTAAGATGAAAAGGATGATAAAGATGAAACAAAATCTAGATTAAATAGTTGAAAATAATAAAATATACAAGAACTACCATCTAACATTATGATGTATAGTTCTGGGCCGTTTATGCGGCTGTTCGATTAGATAGTCGTACTCCCCTATGTTTTTAATAACTTCGTGAGTGGAGGAATCACATTTTTCGTAGAATTTGAATGTAATCTTTAGTAATTCAGCATCTAATGGTAAAATCTTTAAAGAATTATGGATGACAGTGTTCCTAACGAACCACGGAGAGTTCGAGAGGAATCTGAGAGTTTTACTCTGAAAACTTTGAAGCCTTGCTGGGGACCCTTCTGTTCATCTTGCACTCTTTGCCGATGACACCGCCATACTTACTAAAGCCTGCACAGTTATCGCCGTTAGAAACCAACTCCAAAACTATCTCATAGAACTGGGAAAATGGCTCACCTGTTGGAGGATTAAAATTAACACTGATAAAACCAAGGCAATAATTTTCCGTAAGGGAAACATGAAATACTATCCTCTCTACTTTAGCTGCATAGTTCGAATTACGTTTAACGGGTATTGCAAGTTAAAAGATGTAATTAAAGTGCAAAATCCACATTCAATAGTGTAAAGTCAAAAAGAATATTTTGTAAACTTGGCTTCACGTGTTAGTGAAAAATATGTAAATTTCTAAATGTTATCAAATGCTTAGTTAAAAGTCTCTGTATTTTAACTGAGATAGTATTTTAATATTAACGTATGAAGAATTACAATGCTGTCCGAGATGCCTGAGGTAATGGAACCCGTTCAGCAGGCAAATTTTAATGCTGATATTAAGACAGATGATTTTGGACAGAATTTTAAAGTGATTCTTATGAATGATCAGATACGTGAGCTTCAAACTGTCATACGTGATAAGTAGGTATTTCTGAAAGCAGTCTTTAATATTTATTTCCTTAATTTGTCTGTCACCTTTTGAAGTTATTACCGTATTTGATTCAGATTCTTGTATATTGAATGTATGAGAAAAAGGCACTTATTTAGACATACAGTGTCTCACAAAAGTAATGGGACACTTTCTTTACAAAAGGAAAAAACATGTAAACATTTTTTGTGGGTGTGTTTCATACTTAAATTTAGTAACAATTATTACATAACATACATTTTCTCAAAATATTAATTTAATAAAAATACAATTGTTTAGAACGGAGCAAAAAATGGCTCACATAAGTGATGGGACACCATTAGATACTACCAACGTACTACAATAAAAATATTTTTTGGGGTTTTTATTTTTACTCAAAAGCAATTGGCAGTAATTTATAAAATCGTCTGCAGTATTTCTCTCCAGTTTGTTTTGGAATTTTTGTGTTTTTTAGCTCTGTGCAGCCATGAATGCTAAACGAAAAGAAACTTTGCCTGAAGTTCGAAAATTAGTTATTAATTTGCATATTGAACGTGGAAAATCTATAAGAAAAACTGCTGAAACAGTTAACTTGAGTCATTTAACAGTTTTCAGTATCGTTAAACGATATAAAAAGAATCATATAATTCAGGATAAAAGAAGACCTGGCCGACCATCAAAGCTATCCAATGGAATAAAGTGAATTATCATTCGAAATATTGAAAAAAATCTAAGAATGAGTGCTCCTAAAGTTGCTGCTGATTTACAAGCATTATATGGAGTAATTGTTAATCCTGAGACTATTGTAAGAGTAATTCAATCTGCTGAATATCACGGTAGAGCAGCTGGGAAAAAATTCTTCGTGAGTGAAAAGAATAGAAAACTCGGATTGGCTTTTGCAAAATCCAACATAAATAAGAATTCTGATTACTGGAATGAAGTTATATTTGCTGATGAGAGTAAATTTTTTGGTTCTGACGGTAGAATCTTGGTGTGGAGAAAACCCAGAGAAGAATTTCGTAAACAGAGCTTGGTGCCAACAGTAAAACATGGTGGAGAAGGAGTTATGGTATGGGGGTGTAAGTCGTCCGCTGGAGTTGGTAATCTTTTTTTTATTGACAGTATAATGGATCGGTACAAGTATATTGACATTTTAAATCAAAATTTGAAATCTTCAGCATGAGAATTGAACCTTCATAACGATTTTAAATTCTACCAGGACAATGACCCCAAGCACATTGCTTTGAACGTTAGACTCTGGCTGCTGTATAACTATCCTGAAATAATAAAAACACCACCAAAATCTCCAGACTTAAATCCCATAGAGAATATTCGGCAAGAATTGGAATCAAGAATTCGCAAATACACCATTTCTTCAAAACAACAATTAAAATCGGTGCTTCAAGAAGAATGGGGTAAAATCACTCCAGAAATCGCAAAAAAAATTAGTCGAATCCATTCCAAGAGGATTAAATCATGTTTTAAAAGCAAAAGGAAGTCCAACAAAATAATAAAACCTTTTAAAAAGTAAAATTTTTGGATAAATATTTGATGGAAAAGTAAGTGTCCCATCACTTATGTGAGCCATTTTTTGCTCCGTTCTAAACAATTATATTTTTATTAAATTAATATTTTGAGGAAATGTATGTTATGTAATAATTGTTACTAAATTTAAGTATGAAAAACACCCACAAAAAATTTTTACATGTTTTCTTAATTTATTTTACTACAGTTTCGTTTTGTAAAGCACAAGTGTCCCATCACTTTTGTGAGACACTGTAGTTATAATAACATAACTTAGACATAGGTATGAAATTTCAGTGAATGTTTCAAATTTATGTCTCATTTATGAATATTAATTGTATAAAAGTAATTATGAAAAGAATATGTGATACTGATTTAAGTAAGATGCCGATCTCTATTTTTGTATTATATAGTTACTTTCTTAATGTAGTGTTGATTTGTTGATAAATGGTTGCGGCTGGGTATAATTAATCGTTGTGCCCACTTCTGTGTGCAGTCACGGAGGGGGTGGGGGTGGAATTCAATAAATGTTATCTAAAAATTTTTTATAGTTAGTAATTAGAGAAATTAAAAGTCAATCATTGAATTTGTTTATGATTATACATTTATAATTTTAAATAAGCTTGCCAAATATCCTGGTTTAGTTGTCCTAGTCTGGAGGTATGGTCCTGGCATTCTGGCTAATTTTATTACTTTGAACCAGTTATTTATTAAAAATTTCAGATATCATTGTATTCAACTGGGAATATCATAAAATTAAAGCACTGATCTCAGCTTACAGATGAACATCTTGATGATTGCTAACTAGCTGGAATATCATACTTCCAGATTAGGAACGTCTATGAAATGCTATGCAAATATCACATTCACTTTACGAATTAATTTTTGTAAAGAACTTTTATACCAATGAATTGTGAGTCAAAGAATTTGTAAACTTTTATTTGTAGTATTTAATAGAACACACATAGTCACAGTAAACTGGGTACCTCATTAAAAGCACAACTTCAAAAGTGAAGTGCCTTATTTCCTCCTCGCCACCTTCTTCCATTTATTAATAGAACACACATAGTCACAGTAAACTGGGTACCTCATTAAAAGCACAACTTCAAAAGTGAAGTGCCTTATTTCCTCCTCGCCACCTTCTTCCATTTATTAGAGAGGTATGGTTAACATTACAATTGAATTAGAGAGTTTACTTGCTTGTTATATGGTTTAAAAAGCAAGTAAACTCTAATTTAATTACTTATCAACATGTATTGGATTTTCTGGTACTATTCGGTTTTGAGGGCCGTAAAAAATCGCCAAACTATTGTTGATGCCAGTGTTGCCAAAAATAACTGCGGCAACCCAAACTCAAGAAAGGAAGTACAGTCAAAAGTCGTTAATTCGGACACCCATAATCCGGAATGATCTATAATCCGGACCTCAAAGCTACAAACTTTCTGTGCATGCGTCGCATTGACGCATGCGCAGAAAGTAGTTTGTAAATTTTTTGTAAATTTTGATACCCTTTAGATCATAATTGTTCTTTATTTCATAAATTACGGTTTCATATTTTTAATTTTATAATTTCTGCATGCCATTTTACCAGATTTAAACTGATGATCTATAATCCGGAATCGCCGAAGTCCCAACGAGTCCGGATTAACAACTTTTGACTGTATAATAGTAAATAACTATGTAAGATTGATGTTTTAATTTAGATGAAAGGTTAATTTCATATAATACTTTTTTTATTATTATAATTTATATAAAAAAGGCTAAACATCACTAAATGGAAGCATAAGAGTAAATAGATTGTTATAATTTATATAAAAATTGCTAAACATAACTGAATGGATGCCTGCATCTCTATTTCGCTATCGAGTTATCGCTAAAGCATAGTTTGATCTCATTGGTTGTTCAAACGTCATTTTCTATAATGAATGATGCCTTTTCTTTGAAAAAATTCTCGGAAAAGTGCAGAATCGCCCACTTATTTGTTTGCCCCTTTTTACAAGGGTAAAAAAAAATTGAACTTTTGTCAGTTTTCTTTTACTTTTTTAAGTGAAAATAGGTTGATGTGTACATGGATACCGAGTATGTGCAATTCTTAAAAACACGCCAAGAAGTGGGTGATTCTGAACTTTACCCAAAATTCTATTGCACACTTTTCATCATGGGCAATTCCCAAATTGTTAAATCCATAGGACATCAAAAAAAGGATTTGGTTGATCTTTGGATTATGGTAACTTGGCGAAAATTTGGCGACCAACTCTGCTACAGGAACCCTTTATTTATTTATTTAGTTATTTATTTATTTGCCGCCATTTTGTCTTCACGAAGTAAAGACATGTTTCTTTTCTTTTTATTTACTGAGCACTTTTTCCAACAATCTACTAGCCGAATTACACTTATGCTAGAAATTTTATCAAACAAAACTGCTTAATCATGACAAATATTCACTGCAAAATTAGGAAAAACTGCACAATACCATCCTCCTTACGCATTTTTCAAAATATCACATACACATAAACCATGTACACGTCGACTTATTTTTACTTAAAAAACATCCCAGAATTGCACAAAAATAGCATTGCGCACACTCTTCACTATATCCATGTACACTGCTTTTTTCTCATAAATTAAAAAAATTTCACGAAAATACATGACAATTTTCTCAATCTTTAAACCCGGTAAAAAGAACATATATGAAATTACATGATCGCGAAAAAGTATTTACCCTTTACAAATATCAACACTTCCACATATAAAATAAATAGAATATCCAAAAACTTTTACCTCTAAATCATCTATTACATTATACACGTCACCAACGAATTCATACCTCAAGCATTACAAATACTTAATATCAAATATTTAAATTATTTCCATGCACGTTTATTTCAACTTAAACGTATACCAAATTCCTACAAACATAAAATTCACAAAATAACTATCATTTCATTAAAATATAATTAAATTCAAAAACACTACTTAAAATATAAATGAGCACATACATTAAATTAATAAAAATTACCTTACAATCCTAATTACTTTAAACTAAATCATTGCTAATAACAATTTTCCCAATAATACCAAATTCCTTTCCACCTTACATTTACAACAATGCATAAAAATAATATCCTCAAATAATTAAAAATACTAACTTACCTAATCTTCTTCAGAATCTTGATTACGTGGCAGATACACTTTTCTTCCTTCTGTTTCAGAATCTTTAAAATCATACTTATCTTTCAAAGCAAGATACCAGGTAAAATAAATAACATAATAAAACATCTTTATTTCTCTCTCGCACAACCTTAAAAAACATTTATTGCTATCCTTTTCAATACCACTAAATACCCATTTCGAATTCACTTTAGTTACGGGCCATGGGATCCAAAAATTCAATCAAACACTATTTCACACAACACACTATGAAGCTAAATAGCCAAAATGCTACAAAAAAATTGCAGATTTTTTCCCGATTAAAGAACAGTAATTCGTCCATTAATATCACATGACATATCCCATGATCTCTCATTTCCCTCACACAAAATAATGCGTAATCAGAACTGAATACTACTCACATTCTTAACAAAGTCTAACTAACCTAATCTTCTTCCGAATCTTACTTACACAGTGGATACACTTTTATTGTGGATTCAATAAAATTCCTGAACGATTTTTTTTCCGAATTTGATAGAATTTGATAAAAAAAAAATTCTCTTTATCACATCTACAATTCACTTTAGACAGCGCCATACAATCCCAAAATTATTCAACCCTACTTCACACAACACACAATGAAGCTTAATACAAAATAATATACATCCACAGATACTTGTCCAAATTCCCCCCTTTTCCGATTAAAGAACCGTAATTCGTCCATTAATATCACATGACATATCCCATGATCTCTCATTTCCCCCACACAAAATAATGCGTAATCGGAACTGAGTACTGCTCACATTATTACCAAAGTCCCAGGTAGTAACCTTTATCGCCTCCAAAATGTCGCCAAACTACCAGTTACCATATTGTAAAGATCAACCATATTAACTGCAAAATTGCAAAAAAGTGCACAATCACAAACTCCTTGCGCGTTTTTCAGAATAGCACATACACATAAACCATTTACACGTCGACTTATTTTTACTTAAAAAAACATCCCACAATTGCACAAAAATGGCATTGCACACACTCTTAACTTTATCCATCTACACAGCTATTTTCTCATAAATTACAAAAATTTGCACGAAAATGCAAAATAATTCTGTGAATCTTTAAACTCAGTAAAAAGCACATATATGAAATTACCTGATTGCGAAAAAGTATATACCCTTTCCAAGGATGAACATTTCCACATATAAAATAAATAAAATATCCAAAAACTTTTACCTCTAAATTATCTAAATTATTATAAACATCACCAACGAATTCATACCGCAAACATTACAAATGGTTACAAATACTTAGTGTCAAATATTTAAATTATTTCCATGCACGTTTACTTCAACTGAAACGTATACCAAATTCCTACAAACATAAAATTCACAAAAATAACTATCATTTAATTAAAATATCACTAAACCATGTACACGTCGACTTATTTTTACTTAAAAAAACATCCCAGAATTGTACAAAAATGGCATTGCGCACACTCTTCACTATATCCATGTACACTGCTTTTTTCTCATAAATTAGAAAAATTTCACACGAAAATGCATGAAAATTTTGTGAATCTTTAAATCCGGTAAAAAGAACATATATGAAATTACCTGATCGCAAAAAAGTATGTATACATGCAAGCTTTTATACCTTCAGTTGCATATACCCTTTCCAAAGATGAACATTTCCACGTATAAAATAAATAAAATATCCAAAAACTTTTACCTCTAAATTATCTATTATATTATAAACATCACCAACAAATTCATACCGCAAACATAACAAATGGTTACAAATACTTAGTGTCAAATATTTAAATTATTTCCATGCACGTTTACTTCAACTGAAACGTATACCAAATTCCTACAAACATAAAATTCACAAAATAACTATCATTTAATTAAAATATCACTAAACCATGTACACGTCGACTTATTTTTACTTAAAAAAACATCCCAGAATTGCACAAAAATGGCATTGCACACACTCTTCACTATATCCGTGTACACTGCTTTTTTTCTCATAAATTAGAAAAATTTCACGAAAAATGCATGAAAATACTCAACGTATTCTACTCAAACGTATTCCAAAATACTACAAACATATAACTCACAAAATCACGATCATTAAATTAAAATATAATTAAATTAAAAAACACTACTTAAAAATATAATTAAGCACATACATTAAATTAATAAAAATTAGATTACAATCCTAATTACTTTAAACTAAATCATTGCTAATAACAATTTTCCAATAATATCATATTAATTTATTTACTCCTTACATTTAGAACAATGCATAAAAATAATATCCTCAAATGATTAAAAATATTAACCTACCTAATCTTCAGAATCTTCATTACGTGGCACGCACACTTCCACTATTTCACACAACACACTATGAAGCTTAATACAAAATAATATAGTACTACAGTTTTCCAAATTCCCCCCTTTTCCGATTAAAGAACTGTAATTCGTCCATTAATGTCACATGACATATCTCATGATCTCTCATTTCCCTCACACAAAATAATGCGTAATCGGAACTAAGTACTTCTCGCATTATTACCAAAGTCCTAGGTAGTAACCTTTATCGCCTCCAAAATGTCGCCAAACTACCAGTTACCATATTCCAAAGATCAGCCAAGGATTTAAAAATTAAACTAGTATTTCAGTGGCATCTTAAAAATATAGAACTATATAAACTTAGGCAATCTGAAATCCGTGTGTATGCTAGATTTGGCGCGATACATTTTCGCTGCAATTTTTTACGGTCCTCGAAACGGAATAGTACCGATTTTCTTTTACATGACTATTCAAAGTTGATGGCTATGATATCAGTTACTCAATAAAGCAATGTGAAAAGTTGATTTATGAATTGATTTACGAGTTGATTTAATGAAATTATTTAACATGTGCCAAACATAGTAAGTGAAAAAATTTCTTTGTTTTGTAAATTACAGTATAAATTATATTTTTGTAAGTATTTTAGCTCTATGTAAAATTGATTAAAACATCATATAAGAATATATATTAAATTGAAGATGTTTCTTATTAAACTAGAAACACCACCAGGAGTGATTTTGTGTTCTATGCTGATCGCTTGGTGAGTGTTCATTTGTAGCTTTATTATCTTCTGTATTTATATATACTATGCTGTATGTGATATGCTAATTTAGTATAGGAAAGCATTTAGCTTTCATTAGAATTATTAAACACTAAACTTCTTATAGTTATCATTTAAGCACTTTTATTACTAATTTATGGCTTAGCAATAATATTGTGTAAATAAATGAATCGGAAATTATTAGTTTTGAAATCATTTGTTAATTTTTATCATATATCATACCTCATTTATGTATTATATATATATATGATATAATAAAAGCAAGGAAAAGCCGGAACACTGTTCATGTGTACTTAGATCCATTTTAAAGAGCAAGAATTCTGATTGCGTAAGTATGCTAACATGTTGAAATCATAACATCTAAAAAATTGGCAGTTTTAATTTTCCAATTGATATTTGTGGCCACAGTTTGCTTGGCACTCTATTTGTGCCTGTTCAAGAACATTTACATTTTTTATATTATTGCAATAGGAAGCAGCAGCGAAATTACTCCCAAGCAGAGCAGAGACAGAGGCTGAAGTACGTAGTTATGCAAGATGGTGGTAGCACATGAAAAGAAAAGTTTTGGTTTACGATAGTAGTTTCAGTTCCCAATTATTAAGTCATCAGAGCTGTGCAGTCCATAGAATGATTTAGAAATCACGCAATCCAGAGAAGTTATTACGATATGAACATGGAGGGAGAATTAAAGCTTTACCGTTAGCTTAAATTATAATTTTGATTCACATATTTTTTATCTTGCATATATATACAATAAATATATTTGTTAAACTGGCTGAAGTTTGGGGAAGCTCACACTATTAAATAATCTCTTTTAATTTATATAAACGAAATAAAAAATCTTTATATGAGTAGATTCTAGTAATCTGCAAGCACTTAATCTGCCTTGTCATCTGCATTCATTTTAGGATTTAAACAAACAATATTTAAAATTTTTAGAAAATTCAATATGGTGAGTTTAATGAATTTTTTTGTGTATAAGTATTCAACTAATTTTCTTTTAAGAAGGTACCATGTATTTCAAACACATTTTGCTTGAGGATGCAAATTTCTTTTATTATTGAAGGTACATAGCATTTTTTGCACATATTGTAAGTTCTCTGTAGTGTTTACATATTACAGTCAAAAGTCGTTAATCCGGACACCCATAATCCGGAATGATCTAAAATCCAGATCTCAAAGCTACAAGCGTTCTGCGCATGCGCATAATACCTTTACGCATGCACGTTTAATGTATAATGGACGGTATAAGCTAAAATTATCTAATTATCAGTTAATGTTGCAGATTGCGTTGTTCCTTAAACTTCGAATTGGATCCGGCTTATTATTTTTTGCAGACTGTTGGAGCAATTTTATGAAAGTAAGCTTGAACTTTCAAATAGAAATGTCAAATAGAATTTCCAATGCTGGAGCTGCGAAAGGATCTACAAAGCGAAAGTATGTTTGATGTCCATCAAACAAAAAGTGGAATTGCTGCAAAAAATGGATAAAGGCATATCCTTTGTTTTTCTAACCATTCCGAAATCTGTTTATCAATTTCACGCTGCTCTGCGGGGAGGGGGGAAACGTCGCGGCACACAATGAACTGGAAGTTGATCTGTCACCACTATCCTTATCTTCGGGGCAGATGTTTTTATTTTATTTGGCTTATAATTCCTTACTAAATGTAGTATTTCATCTCGATGTACTCCGTCTTTGATATGATTTACATCAAACTCCTTGTCATTATAGTTCGTTTCTGATAGTGAAGAATGTGACACAGAGGTTATTGAAAACGAAAAAATTTTGATTGACAAATTAGTCGGTATTCTTGACACAGCCTTATCCATTTTTTTCAGCAATTCCACTTTTTGTTTAATGGACTTCGAAACATACTTTCGCTTTGTAGATCCTTTACATATTAGTAAATATATATCAGAAATTCTATTTGACATAATCGAAAGTTCAAGCTTACTTTTATAAAATTGCTCTAACAGTCTGCAAAACATAATAAGCTGAATCCAGTTCGAAGATTAAGGAACAACGCAATCTGCAACATTTACTGAATTAGATAATTTTAGCTTAGCTTATACCGTCTGTTATACATTAAACGCGCATTCGTAAACGTATTTTGCGCACGCGCACACGCATATTCGCAGCCGTAAAGGTCTTACGGGCATGCGTCAAAGCGACGCATGCGCAGAAAGTTTGTAGCTTTGAGGTCCGGATTATAGATCATTCCGGATTATGGGTGTCCGAATTAATGACTTTTGACTGTATATATGTTACCGTGAAAGACCGAAATTGGAGAATGTCTGCTTTCACGGGAGAATGTCAACATTCACCAAATAAATCGGTGAAAGATCGAATATTGCATTACATTCTTGTATGTTCGGATCCTCACCGGTGTATGTCGACAATCACAGATATGCTCTGGTGTAGGTCGAAAGGAGAGGTCATAAAGTGTCGTAATAGTTTAAGTTGTTGCAATAAATAAGATTTGAATCACATAATTTAGTAAGTTTTTTATTACTATTATTTTATTTTGTCATTTAGAACATACTGTATAATTAAGTAAGTTTTTAATTTATATTATTTTCCTTTCTTATTTTGAATATATTGTGTGTGGTAGGTTCTTATTTTCTTAAGTTCTTATTTTAAGTCTCAAGTGCGTTTATTCGCGACTGAATTATTGAGAAGAAAATATAATATTGTTATATGTTCAACATTCACCATTAGTACATGGTGAATGTCGACATCGACCGGTGTAAGTCAGAAATAAGAGTATTTGGAAAGTATTTCGGACATACACCAAGCGACTATGTGAATGTTGACATTCACCGGTGAAAGTTGACATTCTCCAGATTTCGGTGTTTCACTGTAACATATATATTTTTAAACCTATGGTGGGCCCTCAGCCGACTTTGGCTTGACCACTATTAAGGCCAGAAGTGGTAGTCACTTTATTATAGAGGCACCTAAAAGGTGGGCCACCTTTGCTTCCTATGAAAGGATGGACAGCTACTACCATGCCTTCTCCGGGATTCAAACCTGGGCCCTTTGGTATCGCCATCAGTTCCCCTAAGCACTCTACCATCTGGGGGTCCCTTCTTGACATAATAAAGCTAATTAATTTAGGGAAAAATATTTTGGGGCCAGTTGTGACCTGCTAGTTTGAGACCACTGCTGTAACACGTTTTATGTTAGATATTATGCGAGTAATTTTACTTGCATTAATAATAAACTTATTAATTCACTGATGTCAGCTTATTAATTTTTAATTGTGAAATTGTTAAAGGAGATAAAGTACCAAAAGATCATGTGTCTTAATTTTTAATATTTCATTCATACGAGGGCTATCCAGAAAGTAGATTACGTTTTGGAATAAAAAAATAAACAAAGTATAGGAAACAAATTTTATTATATACAGATGAAAGCCACACTCAAATACTACTTTTCTACATAGTCACCATACAAATTAAGGCATTTATCGTAGCGATGTACGAGCTTGGAAATTCCTTCGTCGAAAAATTCGGCCGCCTGCGCCTTCAACCACTTCGTTACCTCTTCTTGCAGCTGTGCGTCGTCATCAAAACGCTGCATAGCCAGCCACTTCTTCATTGCTGGGAAATAGGTGGAAGTCGCTCGGTGGTGCCAGGTCGGGACTGTACGGCGGATGAGGAGGAAAAGGAGGAAACAACAACTCCCACTTAAAAGATTCAAGAACTTTACGAGTGACATTTGCCGTGTGGGGCCGGGCGTTGTCGTGAAATCAATCAACAAGATCTTAGAGCTCAACATTCCTCTGCGCTTGTTTTGAATTGCTCTTCTGAGTTTTTGGAGAGTTTGGCAATACCTTTGAGAGTTTATTGTAGTGCCTCTTTCCAGGAAGTCCATCAAAAATTACACCTATTCTGTCCCAAAAAAAAACAGTCGCCATCATCTTCCTTGCCGACATTGTTTGCATGTATTTCTTGGGTTTTTGGGGAGAACTTGTGTGCCCCCACTGCATGATGATTGCAATTTCGTTTCACAGTTCACATGTTTCACCCATGTTTCGTCACCAGTAACGATGCGATCGAGTAAAGAGTCACCATCCTTATGGTAAGCGTCCAAAAAGTTCAATGCTGCAGCCATTCGCTGATTTTTGTGGTCCTCTGTCAAGATTTTTGGAATCCATCTTGCACAAAAACTTGTGGTAACCAAGATTTTCGCTGATGATTTCGTGCAACAAACTTCGCGAAATTTGTGGAAAACTCTCAAAGAAAGTTCCGTTATTGTGAAATTTCGATTTTCACGGACTTTAGCATCGACTTTTTCGAGAAGTTCGGCGGTCACTATGCTGGGTCTCCCACTTCGATCTTCGTCGTGAACATTGGTTCGGCCATTTTGAAATCTTATGACCCACTGACGCACTCCACCTTCAGTGATAATGTTGTCCCCATACACTTCACGAAGCTTGCCGATAGATTTCTATCGGTTTTACAGTTTTTTGCAGTCAGAAACCTTATTACTGAGCGCACCTCGCAGCTCGCGGGATTTTCAATTAACGCAGACATTTCAAACCGTCACAGTATCTGAACGGAGCACAGCACGAACCTCTCACTAGCACGGCTAGATGCAGACTGAGCTGCGCAACGCTCTGACCCCAAGATGGCTGCGCTAGCCCCGCCCCTAGCGGACACAGACGGAAACGTAATCTACTTCCTGGATGGCCCTCGTATTTGCTTATTCTTCCATCTACTGTTCATATGAAATAATAACTGATAGATAAAATATTATTGAAAGTGTCAGTAAAGTATTTTTATTCATACTGTTAACCATTTGGCACAGTTAAGTGACATTTAGATTAACATTGTTTTTATGTTTAATTTTTTATCATTTTCAATTTAGATTCGTCTTGTTGTTGAGGAAGGTTTAAATCAACTCCCATATAAGCGATGTACTATTACAACTCCAACAGGTAATTAAAATGGATTTTTTAGGCTGATAATAAATTTTAGTATGTTTATAGATTTTAATGCTGAAGTAAACTGTTCTGCCTTTAAAGTTGGGAAGCGTATGTGAAGTTTTTCTGGTTTGGTTTAATTGATTTTGTCAAAGCACTTAAGGGCTATCTCCGTCCTAAAGTTTTTTTTACTAGGATCATAAATTTTATGCATGCAAGTGTAGATTAAAAAATCTGATATTTTGAATGCTTGTTAAAATGAACTGATTTTGTTGAATTTCTTCTTGTAACTTTGAACGCATTTCTTTTGCTGGTGGGGAGGTTAATGTTTTCATAGACTCAATACAATTTAATTTATCGGCAATTTCGTTTTCTAATTTGAGTGCCAGATCTTTTGGGTTAGTCGGAAGCTGAGTATTAAGAAATTCTTGCGAGATAGCTTCTGTTAAATTAGGAAAAACTTTTCTGTATTTGTTAACTACTGCTTCCAAATTTGAAGGGGAGGGTTTGAATTTCTTAGTATTATCGACTATTTTCTTAGGACTTCCTGCAGTTTTCTTTTCTGGGATTTACTTTTCTTAGTAGAAATTAGAGTAGCAATTATACTTTGAAGCGCTGGGTCATCTGAAGCAATTACAGGCATCTCTTTGGATGTAGTCAATTTTTTTGAATAATTCGAATAAGTAGAATCATTATCGCTATCATAATCGCTGAAAGTAGCGTGCCAAGGAATTTTGCCGCTATTTGGTGGTTCGCTATTACTGGCCATATGGAGAAGACCAAAAATCAAGAAGAGCAGTCTTTGTCACAAGAGAGAAACTACACATCCATTTTTTAACTCAAAATCATATTAGAACTCAGAATGCACAAAATTTGTATCATTTAAAGAATGATCTAATCGTTGCCACATGTTCTATTCAAATACTATAATAAAGCTAGAACGATGTATAAAAGAAATTAAGCAAACAAAACAAAAAAGAAAGTTTTTCACAGATGATTGAGTATTTCTCATTCAATTAATTCAGTTCTCACTTCGCGACAAGGCAAAAATACATAAAAAATAAAAACTCAAAATATCGGTATTAAAAATTACAAAGTAAATCTTAAACACTTATTTCCTCGAAAAAATTCCAGAAAAAATTAAGCATTATTTAATTCGCAATAATAAATGAAAGCATTATCTTTGTTGTTGCGAAGCTTAGTCTCTCTAGATTGACAACAAATCCACTGTTCTGCTGCTGTCTGCCACCATCAAAAAAATTATTAGGCTTAGGGGCACTTAAGCAACTTTATTATTGATAATTCTAAAAATATTGCATACAGATTTACTAAAGGCATAAAAACCTTAACCGGAAGATAAGAACAACATAATTCAATCATTGTTAAAGCAAAAAATGTACAATTTACAAACATGTAAGAGTAAAGAACCTGAGATCACCGAGCCGGGTAACAGAGTAGATATATATATATGTAAGATAAAAATATATGAATCAGAATTGTAATATAACTAAAAACATTAATTCTTCCTCTCTATTCTAAAATCGTAATAACTTCTCTGCATTGCGTCATTCAAATTAATCATGCGATCTTACGTAACCGTTAATACCAGATGCCTCTTGACGACCAATCACCGAATTGCAAACAAAAAACTTTTCTCTTCGCGTGCTTGCGTCTTTCATAACTACGTACTTCAGCTTTTGCTCTCTACTGTGCTAAGATGTAATTTCGCTGGCTTGCTTTCTATCCCAACAATATCAAAAATGTAAATCTTCTGTGGAAAGGCACGACTAGAGTGCCAAGTGATTGTAGCCACAAATATCAATTGGAAATAAAAATGGAATTAAAACTGCCTCGACTGCCAAGTTCTTTAAATACTACGCAATCAAAATTCTTCAACATGGATCTAATCATGCATCTACAGTGTTCCGCATTTTCCTTTGTGCTTTAATATGACAATTAAGTCGACAGGATAGTTTCCTGCAGCCTGAAACCTCAATGGAAAATTTAATTCAGCTCTTCAAATCATCGTTTTGTGATAAATCCAAGATAATGTGAAAGAAGTGAATCATCAAGTTTGTTTTTTCAGTGTTTATAAAATAACAGATCATTCTTCTGTTGTGGTGTTTTGCAAGTGCTTAAAAAAATAACCACGCGTAGTGTTTACAGATTGAAAGTAATCTCCCGATAAATTAAATTGAGAAGTTCGAATGCCTAGTGAAAAGGAATATTGAATTTGCTTCGCCGATCTCTACAATATTTTTTAAAAAAAAAAGTGCTTTAAATCATCAGTGAATTACCGTTTAGGAATTGAGCATTACAGCGGGTTCAAGGTAGATCCGAGTTGGTGTTTGCAAGTATGTGTGACAGAAAAGAAAATTATTTGCACTTCCGCTTTTTTTTTTCAACAGCTCAAAAATTGTTACATTCGTGTGACTCTAACTCAGGAACTAAATCATTTAATATGTGTTGCGAAAGTCTATAGTTTTGATTTCAACTTTGGTTAAAATTTCTGTAATTTGTTTTGAGAAAATCTGAAATTCTTGTTCATTAATTTTTCTAATTTTTCATAATTATGTGTGAGCAAATTAAGTAACGAATTTTAAGCTATTTAAATTATTCATAGGGAAGGATATTAAGATAAGTTTTTATGTTTTTGAAATTTTGTTGAGAATTTTGAATACGAATTTTATAATTATTCTAAAAATAAAGATGTTAAAAATAAGTAAAATTATTACAGATACGTAATATGAAATTATGATAAATGCATGTTAAATTTATGGGTGATTGTATGTTAAGTATAGTGTATGTCGAGGGGGTATTGGTTCCTTCAGAGGCCTGTTATTACCTCTGTACAGTTGTTCCTTTACCCTCTTCATGCAAGATAATGTTGGAGGCCCTCATTTTATGAGTGTTTGTAATTTTTTTATATTATTATTATATTTTTTATTATGGAATGTATTAGTGCAGTTCTCAAAGGCTAGTTACCTTAATGCAAGGAACGGAGGCCTTTTCAAGTAACTGTCTAGGCACGCTGGGCCACCAGTGCAGAGGACACACTAGTTAGCTCAAGAGGACAGCCCTCTGATGGATATGTTTGTTTAAGAAGTATTGCGAGGCTTCCAGTTTGAATAAAATTTGATAAAATCAGGAATTGTAAATGAAAGATGATAACGGTGAAACCATAAATTGATTCTGAAAATCATAAATTCTGAAAATCTTAATCCTATTATTAATCATGTTAAATTATAATTTATCAATATGAAAATTAATATCATACATATTTATGTGCATTACATTTAATTATAAGTAATGATTATGTAAAAGTTTATTTTGTGATATTCTGCGATAACAAGAACTTTTCCTGAAGAATTATGATTATGTGAACTCTCAAAACAAAAAGACTTTTGGACTGAAATGTTTGAAAAATTCAATAGGACTCTAAAAATTAAGAAGAATCTATTTAAAAAAAAAATATTTATAAATAATACTTTACAGGATCAAAATTTTATTATTTATTTATATTTTTTAAAATTTGCTTGTGCTTTAACTCTTTTTCTTTAAACTCTTTTTCTTAAAAAAGGCTTCTCTATCGCTACGGCCTTTTTCTTTTTGAAGGGGGGAATATGTAAGATAAAAATATATGAATCAGAATTGTAATATTGCTTTAATATGACATATATATATTAATATATTTATATACGTTTGGTGCAGCCGATTGCAACCAAAAAATTCGAGGTGCACATCTACATGTTTATAGCAGTCCTATATATACAAAAATTTCAACGTTCTGAGGCTACTTGTGTTTGAGTTTGAGTTATGCGAGATACGTACGTACGTACATATATTCGTACAGACGCCATGAAAAATTCTCTTCAGAATTCATTTTTAAGCAGTTTTATAATTTTTTTTTGGAGAAAAGAGTCTTTTATTCTGTCCTTACACATACAGATATCACACAAAAACATCGTTAAATTGCTTTCGATAGCGGTCAAAATGGATATTCTCGTTGAAATATGCTGCCTGAAACTTTTCGCAATTACAATACTTCCTTTTTACTTCGTGCAAGGAAGTAAAAAAAGGGCGGGGGGGGGGCAAGTTGCAAAGAAAAAAATGCGGTTGATTTTGAAATAGAACGTTTCATTCAGAATAAAGTATCAAATGACCATAATTTTTAAGTTTACAAATGCAGAGTATATCAAACTATTCAAAGAACAGCTGTCCAAAGTTTATAAGTTTTGATTTAATATTCAGCTTTGCATGTTTCAGCATTGCTGATGGGTACATGTGAACTCAAGAATTGCTTTTTGCTCTGGAGTAAAGAGACAAAGGACTTTCTAAAGTAGTGGCAGTTAGATTCAACTGGTTTTCAGTATTTCATGAGAATTGTTTCTTGTAGTATTTTTATTTCAGTGAGTCAGTTGTTGAAATTGCATTGCAATATTTATTTAAGCAATTTATTACTATTTAGTTGCAGTAATATAATTTTAACAGTTGCTAATAAAATATTTTGCTGCCAGTTAAAAGTTAGATGATACGGAAATCAGTTTTTGCATTGAAAAAGTGAGTACTATTCTGTTATCAGAACCGGGTTCAGAAGTATGTATGTATGTGTTTATGCATGCATATATATATGTAAGTACGAATGTATGTGTGTGTATACATATACACATAAATGCCCATACATTCAAATACACGTTCATACACTTCTGGATCTGATCCTGGTAGCAGAACAGAAGTGCATTCAACAAGTGCATTCAACAAGTATCCATTGAATTTTTAATTTGAAAAGTGAAATTAATGGTAGCTTTGCAAAATTTAATCTTGTGTGATTTACCATAATCAGGTATGTGTGTATCCTAAAGTTCAGTAATGTTCTTTTATTGACTCTTACATCATTATCACAAGTTTATTGCATTGTGGTATCTTTGGTTATTATTATTGTTTTCATAATATTTCATTTTAAAATTTTTTATTTAAAATATGTCAATCTATATGTATTAAAAATAGGAAAATTTTGCTAGGCGGAACATATGAAGGATTAAAGTACTTGAAAGGAAACTGTGGAGTTAGCATAGTTAGAAGTGGTAAGTTAAATGCTTATTCATAATAAACTGATATTTTGAGTTTGTTGGTCTACAAAATTGCCCCCTTTTTATTAATATTTTTTAAAAATTGTATTTGGTAATTTTTATGATGTTAAAAGTTTATAATTTATTTTGTGCCCCCATTTTTTTTTTTTTTTTTTTTTTTTTTTTTTAATTCATGCAGATATATATTAACATAGCAGTAACATAAGAGGGAAACAGATCACAAATTGTAGTATACAGCTAAACATAAGTCCTGCTATTGTTGTTCTTTGTAAATATTGCATTCCGACCCAGACTTCCAGACCATCAACTAAAAATAAATAAATAAAATAAAAAAATTGTCCTCATTTACCAGTCTTGGAAGAGGATATAATAAAAGTAAGCTGGTGTGCAGTAAATGTAATTTTTCTCTGGAGGAACTGAAATCCCAGCCATGCTAAAACACCTGCTGGCTAGATAGTTGCACTGTGCCAATAACAATGCATTGATTGATATTGGTCAGGATCACTTTTGTCTTGAGTTGTTGTAAAGAGAGCTGGGCGAGCATTATGCAATTTGCTGCCCGTGCTCAGTATTATCTCTGTTGGTCTTAAATTCTGCTATCTTCATTAAACTCTAAACATTCCATCTAACTTTTTTTTTTTTTTGCTTGGTGCTGCTATAAATTCTAAGATTTTTGCTGCCCACAATTTCTGACACACGGTGCCTGCCCTTGGGAGAGGGGGGTAAGCATTTTTCTGTCTGATCTAAACATTAAGTCAAACTTCAATGTTGCCATGTCTATGTCATCTTACTAGATTTAAATTAATGATCTAAAATGCGAAAGTCCTGATGATTCTGATCTTGGACTTCATATTATACGTGAATTTTAGCACAGCTAAAATAAAAAATCATTAGATATGAAATATAATATTAGATACTGCAAATTTATATTAATACCCAAGTGATATAAAATTAAATATTAATTATTTTCCATATAATTTTTTTTAAATCATTAAATCTAATGTTAAAGAACTAGTGGGATACTTAATAATGCTATACTTTTTCCTGCATTTAAAAGTAATCAGTTTCTACTCATAGTGTAGTGACTGAGAATTCTGACAAGGCCAATGGTGGGATTCAGTTGATTATCACTGTTCAGCAGACCTGGTTCCTTAAATGATTTTAGTTCAGTGAACTGGTTTTTAAAATTGAATTGTAATATTTACTAAAGCAGTTTATTGGTATATACAGTTCAAAGTCCGAGATCTGGACTCATTGAGACTTGAGTGATTCTGGATTTGGGATTTTTCCGGATATTAGATCATCAATTTAAAGCATGTAAAAATTATAAACCTAAAAATATGAAATTGTGAGCTTAATATTTATTTGTTTACTTTATTAATAATTTCTTTCAATGTAAGTTGTTGAAGTTGCTTTTTTGTGCTAATATTTTCTCTTTAATTCTGTAGACAGACATAATTTCTTATTCAGTTACAAAGTTCCAATGTTCAAGTCCTGTTATTTCTGTGTCAAGAGTTTCCACTAACTTGCCAATTGAAATTTTTTCATTTTCAATAACCTCTCTGTCACTTTCTTCACTATCGGTAGCAGTATTTTCTGGATCTAAAACCATACTACAGATTTCGCCATCCATTAACTAATTGATAGTTGGGGCATTGTCATCACAATGAAAAACTTCTGTTATATCATCTTCATTTATTACCACTTCTCCACATTTTTTTTAAAAAATCCATCAAATGAAAAATTTAACCCTCGTTTTGCAATATCCAAAAACCTTCACATTCACAGCTATCATATTCATCAACCCCACCATGAAATATGCTAGCTGACCATAAATTATGCCAAACATTTTTTAAAGTATCTGGAGACACATCCTCACATGATCTTCCGATGCTCAACTAAGCAGATTTTACGCTGAAATATTTCAAAAATTCTTGAATAGTCTGGTCATAATTCAATAAATTTAACATGGGTTTTAAAAATTCTACTTTATATTTGCATTTCAGCATGCACATTCTTCTGATATCCATAGGCTGAATGATTGACATAGAATTTGGAGGAAAGAATAATATGGATACATTATCTTTCACTAAAACTTAGTATGAGCCAAAAAGTTGTCTACAATCAGGACAATTTTTGCATTATCAGGTAAACCAACCGAATTCTGCTGAGCCTTGTTCGAATTCTGCTGAGATTTTCAAACCAATCATCCATTAACATTTGTGTCATCATTATTCTTTTATTTGCATGATATATAATGGGAAACTTTTTACTCCCTTAAATGCTCGAGATCATGTATTTTGTCGATTAGGAAAGGTTTACACATGTGCATTCTTGCTGCATTTGTGCATGCTAAAATTGCTAGTCTCGCTTTGGAATCTTTGACACGAGTTGGAGCTTTTTCTATAGAGGTTGAAAAATATTTTGCGGTACATATTGTCAGAAAAGACCAGTTTTATCAGCGTTGTAAATTTGTTCAGGAGATAGCTTTTAATTATTAATGAGTTCAATGAATTCATCTGCAAATAGTTCAGCAGCTTCAGTATGAGCTGAAGCTTTTTTCCCTGAAATTCTTAATTGCCTTATACCATGGCAATTTTAAAATTTGGTTAAACAATGTGCATTCAGTTTTTAAGTTTATTTCGTATTGAAATATTTTAGCTTGCACTATTAGCATGTGACCCGTCAGCGGCACACCCTCGCTGCAATGCTGTCTGTTCCATTCAATTATCACTTTGTCATGAACTTCACTTTTAGCATAACGAATAATTTTTTTCTGTTATTCGTTGTGAGTGGGGTATCGGAATCCACAAGAAAAGGGCGAGTTGTTTAGTGCACATTTCTCAGCCCACTGTCTGGAGAATTTTGAGAAAGAAGTTGAAAATGATTCTGTACAAAGTGCAGGTGTTGCAGTATCTGAGTGACTTTGACAAACAAAAGTGCTTTGAATTTTGCTGATACGCAGCTTCCTTTTGAAAATGACTATTTTGCCGATCGTTTATGTTTTCACCAATGAAGCAACATTTCACGTCATTGGGAAGGTAAATAAGCATTATGTTCGCTTTTGGAGAACAGAGAATGCCGAATTCATAGTGCAACATGTGAGAGATCCCCGTAAGGTAAATGTGTTGTGTGAAGTGTTCAGAAAGAAAGTGTTCAACCCTTTCTTTTTTCAAAAACAAACTGCCACAGGAGCCATTTTCTTAGATGTGTTAACTCTTTGGTTGATGTCACAGTTGCAGGATGACATTGACAACTTCCATCTCCAACTGGGTGGTGCACGACCACATTGGTTAGCGTACATGTGAGATTACTTCAGGAGTGAGTTAAGTGAGATTAATGGGGGGCTTGATGCCATCTTGCCGTATGATTGTTATTTGGGGAAACTGATGGATTGGACCAATCACAGACTACAACATGCCCTATACCAAACAGTCACGCTGAAGACCTGACTTAATACCACGCAGAAGACCTGAACAGACCTAATAATTAATTTTAATATTTCTTCCTGTGGGGGTACCTAAAGGACAAGGTATTTGTCCCTTCCCTTCCTGTTGATCTAGCGGAGCTGAAACAGCATATCACAGCTACCATGTATCCTTTCGTGGGTAATTATTTCACAAGACGCACACTTTTACTCTACATGCTACTTTATTATATCTACAAAATATATCATCACTCGCATACACACATATATCTGCAGAATACTACATCCCTTTCCCTTTATCATAACTGCAGCCTATCTGGGGGACGTTGCATTCTACTGGACCGACGCAAAGGTTGTGGCCCTGCTGGTTTCTTTGGTAACTGCAGTAGGTCCAGTAGATGAAACATCTGTTACAACATTGGGCTCGAAGGACGACACAGATATATCTGCCTGGTGGCTATTATCTTTGGATGGTTCTGGAACTCCACTCTTATCAGGCTCTTTGGAAATCATGAGAGCTGGAGGTAGACGTATGAACCCCTCATCTGTTACGGTTCCTCCATCACACATCTGATTGATATGTTGTCGCCATAGCTGACCATCTGCATTGATGGTGTAATGAAGCTGCCCATCCTTGGATTGGACGGTTCCAAATCTCCATTGGCGATAATTTCTTACATCTACTCTATCTTCTACTCTAAATCCTCAGTCTGCAAACTTGTAGGTTCCTTTTCAAACTCTATCTTCCACTCTCTTTTTGAGATCTGGTCTCAATAAATCTATTCTTGTTCGAATTTCCCTCTTCAGCATTAGCATTGCAGGGATCTGTAGAGTAGTTAAATTCAGAGCTGTCCTATATTGCATCAAAAATGTACCGAGTTTTTGTCTCAAAGTTCCTGGATAATTTTGCAGTGTTCTTACAGATTGTTTTACTGTAAACACATACCGTTCAGTCTGCCCATTACTAGATGCTTTAAATGGTGCTGTAGTTTTGTGTTTGATTCTGTTACTCTATAGAAATATCTTAAACTCATGTGAAGTGAATTGTGGCCCGTTATCGCTCATTAACAATATTAGTAATCCGAATCGTGCAAAAAAGTCCCGTAAACATTCTATTGTTTTGAAAGTCGAGCATCATTTCAATGGATAGGCGCTTAGCCATTTTGAGTGAGCATCGAAAATTATCAAAAACATATGCTCAAAAATAGGTCCTGCATAATCGATGTGAATGTTTCATTGGAGCGCTTGGGTACTCCAATGATGAACTTTTACCTGAGGAAGATCTATTTTATGTTTTGCACAATCAGAACAGTTTTTAAGCAGTATTTTCGATATCTTTATCTATACCATTCTAAAATACGTAAGATCTAGCAATTGCTTTCATCTTTACATTCCTAAATGTCTGTGGTGCAACTCTTTCAAAACATTCTCACGGTATCGTTTTGGAATACAAACGTGTTGACCATACATTATACAGCCATCTTGGAGACTATACTCCATCTCCCTTCCTTTCACTTCACCACCGGTTTGTAGTATTCATAGCAGGGGACTAAGTTCAGCATCTATTTCAGTTTCTTTAGCCAAATCTCTGGCCTTAATTGGAAGAGTTTCAATCTGCTGTAATCAAAAAATAGTTACATTCTCCTAAACAGACAGTTGCTCTGAGTTTGTCGGCAATCATGATAGAAAGTCAGCATTGCCATGCTCGACCGCTTGATTCTGTTGCTGACAGGCCCGCTTTAAAATGATGCAGCAAACAAATCCAAATGAGCGCCTTTGACGCATCCATTTCAATCAGTCGCTGTGTGAGTTATGTGTGAAGTATCGATGCAATGCACTTTTATACTATTTATCAATATCCGGACTACCATTCCAACCACTTCATTGACAGGTTTGGCGACTGTTTTTATGTTGGGGTTCACTCTTCCATGTCATATCAGAAACTGCAAGAACGTGTTTTTGGTCACTTCGTATATTGAAAATAAGGAAACAAAAAATATTATCCTTTGGAACAGAAATCTCAGAATTGTTGATAATCTAGATACATCGAAAGTTTTATATTTTTAATATTTTAAGAATTTTGGGGCTGCATTACAATACAGTAAAACCTTTCGAATGCAGACTTGTGGAATGCAATTGTGTATATATGTAGTATGCTGCAGAGTATCAGCATCTTTGTGATATCCTCTTTAATGATTGGTTTGAAAATTTATTCATTTAAGAGCTCAGGTGTTATTTAGAAGAGCAAAATTGGAGCATTAAAGTTCTGATTCTTAATAATGCTCCAGGACATGGTACTAAAGCTCTCACAACATTTCATCCAAATAATGAGGTTTTATTCCTTTTCCCATCTCCTTAACCCAACCAGTTGATCAAAGAGTCACAACAACATTCAAAGTGTATTATGTCAGGCATGTTTACATCTCTGCACATATAACACATAGGAAAGCATGATACACTGATGGCATTATGGAAGAATTCAACGTAAGACACTGCGTAGCAATGATTAACTCTCATGGGAATAAGTGAATTCATCAACAATGACTGCTTGCTGACATCAGTGCTGAACAGAAGTTGTCAGTAGTTTTAAAGGATTTCCACCAACTGAAAATGAAGCCAAGGAAATTATACAAATTGCAAAAGCAGTAGGTGAAGAAAGATTTTAGGTTATGGAAGAAGCAAAAAATAAAAGAATTGGTTGAGAAACACGATTTCTAACTAACAAATGAAAAATTGGATGATCTTATAACGCCAGCAGAGGGTGAAAGTAGCAATTATAAAGAAGATTGGGAGCCTTTAACTTAATTTACTCCTTCGCGCCGACTGTCACGTATACGTGCCAGCAACGAACACACTTATCTACCGGCCGACACGCAGGCGTGCCAGAGCATTGTCGCGTTTTCTACCGACTGTCATGTATTTGTGCCAGTACCTGGAACGTTTTTCAAACTATAATTTCTGCCACAAGATGGCACTGTATGTCCATATGGTTTCAGATACATGTACATTAGACCTTCTACTCGAAATGAGAGAAGCATGACTCACATACACGTGTTTTTGATTATATAAACAAACGGAGATCTAAATGTTTCCGAATGGTGTGATTTATGATGTCTCTTTAAATCGCACTTTATTCGCACGTGGTAGTTGTTTATTGTAAGTAGAAGTTTTATATGCGCTAAAGCATTCAGTACAGTCAAAAGTCGTTAATCCGGACTCGTCGGGACTTCGGCGATTCCGGATTATCGATTTTTCCGGATTATAGATCATCAGTTTAAATCGCGTAAGATGGCATGCAGAAATTCTAAAATTAAAAATATGAAACCGTAATTTATGAAATAAAGAAAAATTATGATCTAAAGGGTATCAAAATTTACAAAAAAAAAGCTTAATATTTATTTGTTTACTTTATTAAACAGTTCTTTCAATGTAAGTTGTTAAGTTAAGTTGCTTCGTTTTATGTGATAATACTTTCTCTTTAATTCTATAAACAGATATAATTTTTTGTTCACTTACAAAGTTCTGCTGTTCAAGTCCCGTTAATTGCTGTGCTGAGAATACCGACTAACTTGTCAATCGAAATTTTTTCGTTTTCACTAAACTCTGTCACATTCTTCATGTCTTTATCCATTTTTTGCAGCAATTCCACTTTTTGTTTGATGTACATCAAAACATACTTTCGTTTTGTATGATCCTTTGGGAGCTCCAGAATCGGAAATTCTATTTGACATAATCGAAAGTTCCAGTTTACTTTTATAGTATTGCTCTTACAGTGTGCAAAAAATAATAAGCCGGATCCAATTCGAAAATTAAGGAACAATACAATCATCAACATTAACTGAAATAGATAATTAGATAATTTTAGCTTACACCGTCCGTTATACATAAAACGCGCGCGCGGAAACGTATTCTGCGCTTGCGCACACGCAAATGCGCAGTCGTAAGAGGTCTTAACACGCACGCGTAAACGCCTATGCGCATGTGTCAACGTGGCGCATGCGTAGAAAGTTTTTAGCTTTGAGGTCCGGATTATAGATCATTCCGAATTAACGACTTTTGACTGTATTTCGGTTTACAGTTCAGTTTTTAGAAAATAATTAGATCTTGTTAGACGTGAATTCTGTTTTTACCGTTTCAATGTTGAAGCGTCGAAAATGTTTAAGAGAGCATGAAATAGCAGAAATGATGCAAAATATTTCAGATATTGGTTCTGAAATTCTGATATTGATTCTGAAAGATTAACCGAAAGACATTTTCCAAAACTTTGTTCAGAAGAGACCGATAAGAAAATGAGACGACGATGCTTCGTTTGTTCACATTCCTGGAAAAATCCTCCAAAACGGCAAATGAGTTATTACGAGTTCAAGGAATGTAACGTAGGACTGTGTGTAGATCCCTGTTTTAAAATTTTTCATACGAAAAGAGAATTTTAAGTAATATATTTAGTTTTCAGATGTATAATGTTAAAAATCATAAAATGGTGAGTAATTAAAATAAAATGTGCAAAATATGCATTTAAACAAGAAATAAGGTAATTAAAGTATATATATAAAAATATCTATGAAGCATAAGCTGTTTAAATACTCTATAGAGCATTATTAAACAATGCGTTGATACTTCGGAGATTTCATGGATTTAGGCTTAGTAGCAAAAATGCCCCCGGCCCTGGAGAGACGCTCGCGGAAGACACTGCCGGCCTCCGCAATAAGCGCGCGTTTTCGCTACCCGGCTCGAAGGGGTTAAGAAATTAAACGAATTATTAGAAAAGTTCAAAAACTGTTGAATTTTGTAATAGAGTTAGACCCAAATGAAGAAAGAAAGCATGTTATGAGAGGTGCTAACAAACTTTGCACTCTTTACCACATTTAGTGATTTGCGTCAGTGTACTGAAGTACTTGCAATGTTGCATCCAAATATATTATTGTATTGTTCAAATGTTTTATTCCTTCCATTGAACACCGCTTTCTTAATCTAACCAGTAGATATCAAGGAGTCACAAAAACATTCAAAATCTATTACATCAGGAAGGTTTACATCACTGCAAATAAAGTAGTAGACAAAGGAAAGCATGACATGCTAATGCCATTTTCGAAGCAGTTCAACATAAGACACTATAAAAATGATTCAGCTTGCTTGGGAAATGTTTCAGCTCATCAGAGTGAATTCATCAACAATAAATGCTTGGTGTTATCAGCACTGGGCAGAAGTTGTTAACAATTTTAAAGGAGAGCCATTGATTCAAAATAAAGCCAAGGAAACTTAAATTGCAAAAGCAATAGGCAGCAAAGGATTTTCAGATAGGGGAGAAGGAGAATTGTGAAATGACAAATGAAGACTAAAGTGACTCTTATAACACTAGCTGAGAGACTTTAATCTACAAGAAATTAAATAAATTGCTAGAGAAAGCAAAGGAACTGTCTGATTTTCTAATGGAGATTGATCCAAATGAAGTAAAGGTACTTTATTAGAGGAATTAAAAAAAAGCTTTGTACTCCTTGTAGTGAAAAATTTAATAAGGTGCATCATGCATTGTCCCAAGTAAAAATCACCAGCTATTTAAAAAAATAATTGTATCATGTACTTGCTTATTAAGCAATTATAGAAATACATATAATTAATATTTGTTCCACTTTTTCATTTTAATTACAATAATATATAGTTTTGTGTAAATTTTACATACTTCCTTAGTATAAATTGTAATTATTATATCATCTTTTTTTCCCATAAAATGATAATTTTCCGGAATGCAGTTTTACCATACGCACAATGTGTTAATGACATAATGCTCGCATTTGGTAAGAGTTATTGTAGTTATTCGACTTTAAAAATATGGTCTAAATTCCTTTTATAAGCTATAAATAAAATGCATGGAACCATTATGTACAATTTATTTTGTATTAAATGTTTTTCAACTAACGAAACTTCAACGATTGTTATTAATATTGCAGTATGTTTAATATTTTCATGTTTATCACAGGTGAAGCCATGGAGCAAGGCTTAAGAGATTGTTGTCGTTCGATTAGAATTGGGAAGATTTTGATTCAAAGTGATGAGGATACTCATGAAGCTCATGTAGTGTATGCTAAATTTCCAGAAGACATTTCTTCCAGGAAAGTGCTTTTAATGTATCCCATTATGAGTGAGTATAATTAACAAATGTTGATAAAAAGATTTTGTATGATGTCTCTAATTTGTTTTTATATTGGTTAGATTTTTCTAACTAAAAATGCAAAGTAAATCCTATTTTGTTGATGATTTAGTACTTGTCACTTTATATCAAGTACAATAAATTTATAGTACATGCTGGGTATAATTCTATTCAACCTTTCATCAAGTTATTAATTCGTAGACTTATAATTTGTAGATTCGTAGAATTAATTTCTTGATACGTGCTATATTTAGCATCCTTTATGCCATGCCAGATATGAAAAAGATCAAATTTCAAGAGTTTCAAATCAATTGTATGGTAATCTTTTTTAAAATATATGCAATGTATATATTCTGATGTATATAAAAATAAGGAGGGAAGTTTAAGTGATTTGATTTCTACCAATCTCATCCATAACTTAACTGACATTTTAAGATTAGTAGACCCTTTTTTGGATATATATTTTTAAAAAAGTGCATATTGCAAGATTTGCATGAATTTCTTTCTCCCTTCCCTCATTAAAAAAAAGTCTTACTTGAAAATATCTATATATGCTTGTCTTGGATGTTGATTGAAGGAGTATATTAAATCTCTGGGATTTCATCCTGACTTATGTGTAATAGTCACAATTATACAATCCTTATACTTTTGAATAAAGCACTGCCTTTTTTTTTTTTTTAAAAAAATTCTTTATTGTAAAGTTTGTGTTTCTCTAGTTCTTTATGTTTTGGCTCATTTTTTTAATTAAATATGACAACGCACTAAGGGTCTTTATGAAGGGTTTTCTAAGGAAGCCTTACTCATGTTTGTGTTACATATAAGGGAAATCCATAAAACACTTATTTTGCTGGAATTTGAACTCATTTAACTATTAGTATTCAGAAATTTTATCTCCTTGATCATTGGTTGGCTCTTATATATTCTAAAATTGCTTTTTATGGGGGGGGGAGGAACTTGTTTTATGATTGTTTATAAAATTATGATTTTAGCATTTGGAAATATTTTATATCTTGTACCTTGTGCTTTTCCCCTTTCAAGAAGTTTGTATTTGCCTTTTGCTATATGTAACAGTGGCCCTTTTTAGGTAGTTTGATTCATACTGAAAGAGGTACATTTCCTTTAACAAATGGAAAGAAAATGTAAAGGTGCAGTTGATTCTAAATCAGACTACTCCTTGATACACAAAAGAGAATGTATATTTCCATTATAAAAAATGTCATTCTATTCCTTCGTATACCCTTTTTTTTTTTTTAAGTCTACAATTTTAAGTTATGATTTTAATTTTGTTTTACCAGATTAATTGCCTTTATAATGTGATAACAAAAATCAATTCTGTTATATTTTTAAATTATGAAATTCCCCCACATTTGTTATTTTATAGATGTTTTTTTTTTTTTTAAATTTATCAGGTTTCCTCATTTTTTAAAGCATCCAATAGATTTCATGATAGATTGGGTTTATTGAGATTATGGCAAAACACACTAGGGCTATCTGCTTAAGGGGAGGGATACCTTTGTGGAAGGCTTTCTAAGGGTAACTGGCTCATATACATGAGGAAAACCATGAAAACGCCCATGCAGCAAGCCCTTTCGCAAGACTCGGACCAAACTACCAGTGTTCAGCGACTTCACCGCTTGGCCGGTGGTAGGCCCCATAGATTTCATTAACTTATTTTTTTAAATTTACAAACATTCAGAGCTTTATAAACAACGAAACCTCATACAAATGTTCCAGTAAGCAGAAATGTTATTTAGTGTTGTATTTCCTTGTAATGTTTGTTGTATATTTTATTTAAAATTATCAAAATTCTTTAAAAAATTTTCTAGGGAAAGAATGGTTAAAAATATAAACAAAAATGAGTACTGTGTAAATGATTAAAAACTTAAACTGTTTGGAAATGTTAAAATTTAAATTGCAGATTAGTTGAATTTTAAGTCTAAATTAATGTTTAAAGTTTGCCTGAAAGCATAACGTTTAAGGGTGAAAACTGACAAGAATTTAAAATATGCTGTGTTTAGTTTAAATATGGCTTGTACTATTCATTGTTCATATATTTCATATTGTAAATTTTTTGTAGGAAAAAGCTTTCGTATTGGAAGGGGAAAATTGTGCAATGTTATATAGTTTTTGAAAGAATGGGAATAAGTTACAAGATAGTTATTATCTTCAATACCTAGAATTATTATTCTGTTTTTATGATGTTTCATAATTTAACATTTCATAAACTAGTAGAATCTTTCTTGTTTCTTCTTCAGACGAATGAGGTTATGATCGAATTCTGGACTGTAAGAATGAAAAGGGAATGACAAGGAAAACCAGATCCTTAACATACCTTTAAAAGTGATATGTTGTTAAGACTCCCAGGACATCAAACTTGACAGTTCATCCTACCCTTTCAGCTTGGAAAATGGGGAAAAAAATTTGATCTTACTTATATGTAGTAGATATGTCACAGTTATACAATTCTTATAGTTCTGAATAAAGACATTTCTGCTAATTTTTTTAAAAACATTCTCTTTCTGTAAAGTTTATCCTTATTTTAGTTCTTTATGTTTTGTTCATTCATTTAATTGAATATAACAACACACATGAGGGCCGTCTGCCTGAGGATCTTCATGAAGGGTTGCCTAAGTGACACTTACTCATATTTGTGTTACATATAAGGAAAATCATTAAAACTCTTATTTTTTTTTTAGTTTCAAACCAATCAACTATTAATATTCAACAGTTTTATCTTCTTGACCATTGATTACGCCCTTATATATTCTGGAATAGCTTTTTGTGAAAAAAGAATTATAACTTGTTTCATGATGGTTAATAAAAGTATAATTTTAGCATTTGGAAATATTTTGTATTTTCAGAACCCTCAGTTGAAAACATCTAAGAATTTCTTGTCTTGGGTAATACGTAAAGGGGCATAGCAAACAGATGGGATTTTGTTTTTCTGATTCCAGTTTTAGAACCACATCCCAAACAAAAAGAATATTTTTTCCTGAAACCTTTTGTTATTATGTTTTCTATATGCTTTCCCATGGATGCTGTAGTTCAGCATATATGTTTCAACACTGCCCCCCCCCCCCCCGAATAGACATTTTCCCATTTCTCTCTTGCATTTGGTATTTTATATTACAGTCAAAAGTCGTTAATCCGGACTCGTTGGGACTTCGGCGATTCCGGATTATCTATTTTTCCAGATTATAGATCATCAGTTTAAATCTTGTAAGATGGCATGCAGAAATTCTAAAATTAAAAATATGAAACCGTAATTTATGAAATAAAGAACAATTATGATTTAAAGGGTATCAAAATTTACAAAAAAAAAAAAAAAGCTTAATATTTATTTGTTTACTTTATTAAACATTTCTTTCAATGTATATTGTTTAAGTTGCTTCATTTTATGTGATAATACTTTCTCTTTAATTCTATAAACAGACATAATTTCTTGTTCAGTTACAAAGTTCCGCTGTTCAAGTCCCGTTAATTGCTGTGCCGAGAATACCGACAAACTTGTCAATCGAAATTTTTTTCATTTTCACTAACCTCTCTGTCACATTCTTCATGTCTTTATCCATTTTTTGCAGCAATTCCACTTTTTGTTTGTTTGGACATCGAAACATACTTTCGTTTTGTAGATCCTTTGGAAGTTCCAGCATCGGAAATTCCATTTGACATAATCGAAAGTTCAAGTTTACTTTTATAAAAATTGCTCTTACAGTCTGCAAAAAATAATAAGCGGGATCCAATTTGAAGATTAAGAAACAACGCAATCATTAACATTAAGTGAAATAGATAATTAGATAATTTTAGCTTACACTGTCCATTATACATTAAATGCGCAGGCGAAAACGTATTCTGCACTTGCGCACATGCATATGCGCAGTAGTCAAGGTCTTAAGCGCACGTGTAAAACGCCTGTGCGCATGTGCCAACGTGGCGCATGCACAGAATGTTTTTAGCTTTGAGGTCCGGATTATAGATCATTCCGGATTATGGGTGTCCGAATTAACGACTTTTGACTGTATATTATTTTATTTAGAATTGCTTTTTGTGAAAAAAGAATTATAACTTGTTTTATGATGGTTTATAAAAGTATAATTTTAGCATTTGGAAATATTTTGTATTTTCCGACCCTTCACTTGGAAACATTTAAGAATTTCTTGTTTTGAGTGTTACGTAAAGAGGCATAGCAAACAGATGGGATTTTGTTCTTCTGCTTCCAGTTTTAGAACCAAATCCCAAACAACAAATTTTTTTTTCCTGAAACTTTTTGTTATTATATTTTCTATATGCTTTCCCATGGATATTCTAGTTCAGCATATATGCTTCAACACTGCCCCCCCCCCAAATAGACATTCTCTCATTTCTCTCTTGCATTTGGTGTTCTATTTTATATTATTTTCTTTAGAATTGCTTTTTGTGAAAAAAGAATTATAACTTGTTTCATGATGGTTTATAAAAGTATAATTTTAGCACTTGGAATTAATTTGTATTTTCAGACCCCACATTTGAAAACATCTAACAATTTCTTGTCTTGGGTGTTACTTAAAGGGGCATAGCAAACAGATAGGATTTTATTCTTCTGATTCCAGTTTTAGAACCACATGCCAAACAAAAAGAATATTTTTTCCTGAAACCTTTTGTTATTATGTTTTCTATATGCTTTCCCATGAATGCTCTAGGTCAGCATATATGTTTCAACACTGCCCCCCCCCCCCCGAATAGACATTTTCTCATTTCTCTCTCCATTTGGTGTTTTATATTATATTATTTTATTTAGAATTTATTTTTGTGAAAAAAAGAATTATACCTTTATGATGTTTATAAAAGTATAATTTTTGCATTTGGAAATATTTTGTATTTTCCGACCCCTCACTTGAAACATCTAAGAATTTCTTGTCTTGGGTGTTACATAAAGGGGCATAGCAAACAGATGGGATTTTGTTCTTCTGATTCCAGTTTTAGAACCAGATCCCAAACAAAAAATTTTTTTT